ATGTGGGTCAAGAAAACAAACCTGCTGATGAATCCGGGTGGGCTGAATCGGATGCAGTACTCCCCATGAAACATATATTCGCATATTTCCAAAAAAAAAAAATTCATGGGAACGATCTTCAATGAGCCATAAGGTCAGCAGGGAACGCTATCGACTGTTGGTTCCACGCGATAGTAAGATCAATTCGTTTTTAAAGCACTTCTTTTCGACATGTGGAGAAGACTCGATAAAACCCGGTTCGGACTAACGAAAACGTGTTGATCCTGCTTTGAATTTATATAAGGGGTGTCCTGTAAAGTTTACAGAGAACACGAATGTTCGGAATGGAGAAGCCAATGGATCTCGGTTTTTTGTGAGAGAACGGTGAATGTGAGGGATGGTTGCACCCCCAAGATTATTCAACTCGACAAAGGCTGCAAGATTCGGGCTATTTTCTCAGGTCAAGTCAAAACTATCCTTGTGGAACATGAAAAGGAGACTATTATGCACCGTACTTTTTATGTAACAGAGCAAGACTACACTTTCAGACCAGATGGTTTTATGACCGGGAAGTTGTAAAACAACCAAGATGAAGGGTAACAGTTCCGATTTATCAGCAATTCGTAGACAGATGGAACAAATTTCAGGGATTATGAAGTGTTTATTGGTAGCATTCATGGGATTATGTACAAAATGGGACTTAGTAGGTGTTATAAGGGAGAAACCATGAGTGGGTTTGTTTTATTGAGAAGATGGATTGGGATCCAAGAACTTTGGCATGCCAAACGAATGAGAGACATGCTTGCTAAGATTAAAGGATACTATTTGGGCTTTCTGTCCTAGGAGTAGATCAATACGAAGAAATGTTCCAGCGAGAAACGGGTTTTGTTATAAGTATAAACGGTAGGGATATAGGGTAATTATTCTATATATAAAAACATTTTAATTACTACAACTACCTTTTCTGAGATTCGCATTGAACTCGTACGTCATTCAATGTAGTCATTGAAAAAAGATCAAGCGTCCAATCAAATCAGGCGACCCCGAAAAATTAGGAGCCAACTTTTAAAATGTAAGAACGCAAGGCGACTTTCATTGTGCATGTACATGCGTTGACTGTATCCCGTCAATACAATACTATACTAGTCGAATACGTAGACTTCTACAGGGCCTTCTAAGTAATGCGCGCCGGGTATAATTCAAACCTCTGCCCCCATCGGTACCATTACCCCTAAAGCAAATCGTCTCCAGGAGACGAAATTAAGAAGACCACCCCCACAAAGCTGCCGCTCCATTTCGGCATGCCATCCATAGTGGACTGACTCCCAACACAACCATCAGCAGTCATTGCTTTGTAGGGCCACGACCCTGAACCGGCATCCATTGAGCTTCTCTCTCTCAGTCCGTGCGTGAGATCGAAGGTTGTGCGAGGATCTTTGGTGAGGATTTGTTTAAATTTTGGCCAGGACGATCTTTGGCCAGGACAGGACAACCCAGCGCCGACCAAGTATCCTCCTCAGGATTGATAGCTTGTGGAGGAGAAGGGGCTGTCATTCATTCATTCGGTAGCCACTGGTTGGATCTGTTCTGAGCAGTCAGTCCAGTTGCCCGATTCGATTCGATTCATCCTTGGCACTTGCTTTCGAGTGAGTCAGAGTCATTGGTCTTGTCAAAATACACACCAACAAAAAGACAATGTTGAAGAGCCCCCCTCCTGGCGTTAACAATGGAGAAAGCTCCGCCTCTGCTGGGAGGCGGCAGCATCAACAACCACTAGTAGAAAATGGCGTGGCTTCCCAGCAACAACAAGAACCCGAAAAGACTCCACTAGAACGACAACGAGAGCAAGCCTTACGAGAAGCAGAGCAAGTCCTGGAGTCCATGGGAACCAATCAACTAGATCATTTCAATCTGCTGGGAGTGGTTGCAAATCCTCGTGGATCCCAACATGGAGGAGGCAACATGGCCACTACACCGTCGTCTGCCATGTCCTCCATGCATGGACCCAATTCCGTATCGTCGTCCACACATGGTGGTGGAGATGGCTCTACATTTCTATTCTCGGATACCTACAATACCCTAGAATCCACACTCAGCTCCGTCACGGAACAAATCGAAGCACTCAATCACGTATTTGAAGATTGGTCACGGCAGTATCTAAATGATTACTACTATCAGGATACCGCCGATACACTTCCAGAGAGTCAACTGCAAGAACTGCCACCCGAGTTGTTGCAGTTGGAGCTGAGTTCACTACAAAAGTATCTACAGAAATCGGGAGTACTGGCACAAACCTATCAACGTCATGCCAGAGAACAAGTACTCAAAAAACAAAGGCAAGAAGAATTAAAACAGGCCATTGCAGCAGCGGCATCCTCGGAATTTACCACATCCACCAGCACAACACAAATAGCAGCAGACCAAACACAACAACAACAACATTCCAACGATGACCCATTATCCGACATTCCCGAAATATTCTTTCAACCCGATTTTGATCTGACAGATCCAAAGACGTTTCGACGATTGCTACTCAACGACAATAATAATAATACTATTGATGGGAGTAGTTCTTCGACCTCGGCAGCAGCCATGTCGCCCAAAACCGCCAGCAGTCTAACGACATCTCTGGAAGAACCCACCAATGATCTCTTTCAGATTCCACCACCGGATCACTTTACGGGGTATCTGGACAAGGTAGAAGTGGCGCTCTTGGAACAAGTGAGAGAAAAATCAGAAGCTTTCTTTCAAGAAACCAATCGATTTGCACAACTCAAAGAGTGGGTCGGAGAGCTTTTGGTGGATGTGCAACGGCTGCGTATGCTCATGGAAGGACAAGCCAAAGCAATTCAATCATGGCAGCAAGTGCCGCAGTGGGATCGGACACGCAAACATTTACTCAAATTGGAAGCCATCTTGGACGGTGCCAATGAGATTCTTCGTTGTAAACAGTGTATCGGGGGATTGCTCAGTGCCAAGGATGATCTTGGAGCGGTCGAACAAATTCAGTACGCGCGACGACTGCTGGCGGGAGTACCGGAGGACGACGATGATGAGGGAGACAGTAGTACTGACAACGCGACGGATGCTGCCAACGAAAACAATGCCAAAACACCACAACACGATGTTGATAATAAGGAAACACCCATCGAATTGGGGCGTCTTCAGGCTCTCAGAACCGTTGGAGAGCAATTGAATCAATACGAATCCCTCGTCGTGACCAGTCTGACGGAAGAAGTCGTCGAGATTTTTCTCGAATGGAACACGTCCACGCTCGCTTCCATGTACGGCTTTTCGACTTCCAATAATGGAGGAATGCTATCATCAAAGACATCTTCGCAACACGAAGTAGAACGACGGACGCTCAACATTGTGGCAAGTCTGCAAATGTGCCATGCTTTGGGACACATGATGCAGTTCTATGGGACGCGACTTCACGATATGGTGCGAATGACGGTCAGAACGACCGTGGGCGAATTTGCGTCGGATGCAGCGGTTTCGGCCAAAGGAGGTGCGGCACCAGGAACGTCAGTTTCGGTCAGTGTCACGGCCATGTCCCTGGAACGATTCATTGACTGTCTGGATATGCTCTTTGAACAACTCTTGGCATTGTTGACGTCTGCCTCGGGAGTGGACGAATTCTGTCACAAGGAAGGGTTGACATTGCGAGATGAGAAAACTAAGAACGGGGGCGCTTCCGCTACGAACGGTGCAATCGGCAACAGTAAAAAAGCTGCCAGCTCTAACAATGGGGATCTGAACGGATCCACACACGACACCTCTTCATCGGAGCCGGAGACTGCAATCCATGTCATTGTCGCCTCAGCCGCTGAATTATCTGCCAAATCAATTGCCGAGCTCTTGCGACTGCGAAAAGAAGTGCATTCTTTGGTAACCCTTGATGAAATGAGACGGATTTGGGATACTTGCACCAAATTTGTCGAAGAGGTGGAAAAGCTGAGTGGTCACAAATGCGTCGCACTGAGGAGCATGTTGTTGACCCAAGCTAAGGCATTTGTAGAGAGAAAACACGACAGTAATATGAGTTCGTTGGCTGCCGCTCTTGATTCTGAACGCTGGACACAATGCGAGGTAAGATTTTCTTCCGCATTCGTCGACCAAAACTCGGACAGACCCTTTGCGACGCGACGTTCTAACGAGTACGCGTTTGTTTGTGTGACCAGGTATCGGCTGAAAGACAAACGGCACTGACGATGCTATGTTCAGGGCGAGCTGGTTACACAACTGGCAGGCGTTTGGTACGACAATCCAGTGTAGAAGAAAACCCAGCCCTCACTGCAAAGTCACCAGAAGCTGAGGTGGAAGGAATACGGTATAAGGTCGTGTGGTCATGCCTCTTATTGGTGGAAATGATCATGACGAACATAGAGGCAGCAGCCCGCTTCAACAATTTGGCATCCAACGTCGTCGGAAAAGTCTCGGAGCTTTTGCGATTGTTCAATTCTCGGGCTACACAGTTGGTTTTGGGCGCTGGAGCAATCCACTCGGCGGCAAGGCTCAAGTCGATCAATGCAAAGCACCTCTCGTTGGTGACCCAGTGTTTAGGAATGATTATTGCTCTTCTGCCTCATATCCGAGCTGCTCTCATGTCGCAGCTGCCACCCAAACAGCACACGCTCCTGACTGACCTAGACAAGATCAAGAAGGAATATGCCGACCACAATGAAAAGGTTTTGAACAAGTTCGTCACCATCATTGGTGGCATTGTCGAGCATGGCTTGGCCAAGCACATTGGAGGGATCGACTTTGATGCTCGAGCGAGGGACCCCAAACTTACCAGCGAGGACGGTGTTGCTTGCTGCGTGTTCCTCGAGGGAGTCATCACAAATACGCGCAAAATGCATCAAGTACTAAGTGCATTACTTCCACCAGAGCACTTGCAGGATGTGTTTTCGAGAATATTCGCCTTCATCGACCAAAAAATTCCAGCCCTTTTGATCGCAGCCGCAGAGAATGGAAACAAAGCAAATCATGGAGGAAAAGCTCCTCAGGGAACACCTTTCCGATTCCCCACAACCAACGATGGCAAGAAGCGGCTCTTAGATGAAGTCGATTCTGTGACGAAAAGTCTCAATGGGCTTGCTGGGGTCTTCCCTTGGGAATTCAGTGCTGTGTCGGTATTGGCCAAGACTCTGGAATATGAGTTGCCAAGGAAGCCTGAGCCTGAAGGAACCATGGCATCAGAAGCTGTCTACGACAACGAAAAAGAGAGTGAAGAAGTCGCTGCCAGTGCGGAAAATGGGGATGACTCGGGTGACACACCCGTCGACACGGCTGCTCCAGCAGCGGCAGCAGACCCCTGAGAATCCGAGCTCAAGTAGCAGTCGAAGCAACTGTGCTCTGCGGAATGATGCTGACAAGACGGACGTGTTGGCAACATCGAATGATCACTCTAAAACAGAGGTACAATTCGGTTTTCTGTACTCCTTGCTGGGAACTTTTGAGCTCGTTTCCTCGAATCGGCCTCTCGTAACGTTCTTCGTTGTTGCCGTCGCCGGAGTTCCGGTGCCTGTATTCCGCCACCCCAGTAGGGGCTAGTCCATTCTATCAGAACAACAACAACTTGCTAGCTAGCTACGAATACAATACGGTTGTATACTTTAGCTCGCCACTCTTTTGTATATCCATTTTACAGCGTAGCATTTGATTAGCACGATTTGTTGGGTGGCTTCTTTGCTGGCTTCGTGATGCCCTCCTTTGAACACACCCTTGGCTCAGAGTTGCTTGTTGCCCTTCTTTTATTGCCGCCGCTTGCACCTGGATGGGTGCCACGCCAGAAGCTTGGACTGGCTTGTCTCCGGTAGCAACGACCCTCTTTGTCACTTCTTCTTCGCTCTTACCCTTGAGCCCCAACTGGATTCGAACGAGGTTGTTCGGTTGAAGTCACAGAGGTTTGTGTCACAGCAGCAGGTTCTACAGTGATATTCGTTGTTGTCTTTGGTTGTGACAGCTCTGCCCCTGTCATCGTTGGGGTTGCGACTCTAGTGGCTGCCACGGCTGGTGACTGATCTCCGTTGGTGCTAACTGCTATTGGCGTTGGGGTGGCAGCGGAGACCCCCGAAGCGGCAGCCGTTTGGTTTGGCTTAGATCCTGCATTTGCCATCGTGGTTTGTGGCTGCGAAGTAGCTGCACTTTTTGCCTGCTGGGCTACTTTTGAAGAAGGAGCACTTGTCGCAGAAGACGGCAACGGTTCTTGTGTTGGCTTCTCTGCAGAAGTGGCTGAGACTGCAGTCATCTGCAACGCGGTTGGTGCCACGGGGCTTTGAACGTTGTGGGTTGCAGCTGTTCCTGTACCCGAAGCCGCTGCTGGCAGTTGCTGGAGAGGCAAAGATGCTGTTGCAGTAGGGTTTGCCACTGGAAGCTTTTGGGCAGATTTATTCAGCGCTGTGGCAGCAGTCCTCTGTACCTGTACGGGATTCCCAGTATTTGCAGGTGCCGATGTAGCAGATACCTGAGCAACAGCGGGTTGATTTGATGTTTTTGAGGCTGCAGCTGCAGCCGCAACCCCAGTACTTGTAGCCTTCGACACTGTGGATGCAATGTTCACAACAACAGGAGTTGTGGCAGGGGTTGCCACTGGACCTGTGGGTGCTGGTGCTGCCACAGATGTGAGGTGTGGTTTCTGGGGTGCCGCAGTGGCAGCAATTGTAGGTTTCTGCATTATCGGAGCATTCTGTGTGACAGGTTTTGTGGCAGATGTTGCAGCTGGAACTGGTGCTGCCACTTGTGGTTTCTGGGATGCCACAGTGGCAACAATTGAAGGTTTTGGTACCACCGGAGCATTCTGTGCGACAGGTTTTGTGGCAGATGTTGCAGCTGGAACTGGTGCTGCTGGTGATGCCACTACCACAGCCGTGAGTTGTGGTTTCTGGGCAACGATGGTAGGCTTCGGTGCCATCGGAGCATTCTGTGTGACAGGTTTTGTGGCAGATGTTGCAGCTGGAACTGGTTCTGCCGCATTGGCTACAATGGTAGGTTTCGGTACCATCTGAGCATTCTGTGTTACAGGTTTTGTGGCAGACATCGTAGCTGGAACTGGTGCTGCTGGTGCTGCCACCGCCATGGGTTTGAGGTGTGGTTTCTGGAGTGCCGCAGTGGCAACAATGGTAGGTTTCTGCGTTATCGGAGCATTCTGCGTGACAGGTTTTGTGGCAGAATTTGCAACTGGAACTGGTGCTGATGGTGCAGGTGCTGTCCTGGGTTGTGGTTTCTGATGTACAACAGCTGCACTTGTAGCTGCAACTACAGTATTGGTAGGTTTAGGCACCATCGAAGCATGCTGAACCACAACTGAGTTGCCAGAGGCTGGGGCTGGAGCTTGTGCTACTGTTGTTTGTGCCGACGTAATGACAATGGTGGGTTGCGGTTTCTGAGGTGCCACAGGTGCAACTACCCCTGAAGTAGTGGCAGGCTTGGGCACCATCGATGCCTTCTGGACCACCACCTGTGCTGTGCCAGAGGCTGAAGCTGGGACTGTAGCTGTTGGTGCCTGTGCTGTCCTTACCACAGGAGCGGGTTGTTGCTTCTGTGGCGCTGGGTTTGTATTTCCAACTGAAGTACTGGTAGGCTTTGGCAATATTGATGCATTCTGACTAACTTGTGATGCGCCAGAGGCTGCAATCTGGCCTGCAATCACAGGTGCCAATGCTGTCCTTACAACAGTAGTGGTTTGTGCTCTCTGAGCTGCTGTAGTTGCTGTGGTGGGCGTGGGCTGGGTGCCAGAGGCTGTTACCTGGCCGGTAGCTGCAGGTGCCAATACTGTCCTGACCGAAGTAGTAGATTGTGGCTTTCGAGCTTCTGTAGTTGCAGCCACGGTTGAAGAAATAGTTGCAACTGGCCCCGAAGCTGTTGGCGCCAGTGCTGTCCTTGCCACAGTAACAGGTTGTGGCATTAGAGCTGCTGTAGTTGTAGCTGCAATTGAAGTAGTTGTAGGCTTGGGCAATATGGATGAGGCAGCAACTGCGCCTGTAGCTGCAGGTGCAGATGCAGTCCTTACTACAGTAGTGGACTGCGGCTTCTGCATTGCTGGGGTTAAAGCAACAACAGAAGTGCTGGTAGGCTTGGGCAGTATTGCTGCATTCTGTGAAATCTGTGTTGTGCCAGAGGTTGCAACTGAACCTGTAGCTGCTGGTGCTGTTCTGACCACAGCAGTGGGCTGTGTCTTCTGAGGTGCTGTAATTTGCGCAACAACGGTAGGCTTGTGCATTATAGATGCACTATGGGCCACCTGAGCAGTACCGGTACCAGGGGTTGCAACTGGACCTGTTGCTGCTGGTGCTGAAGGGGGCAATACAATGGCCCCAGGGGGTCTGGCATTCAGCTGAGCCACGGGTGGGTTTGATGCAGGTAGTTGCTGAGAAGCTGTAGTTGGCCCTGGTTTGCTCGGTGGCTGATGCGCTGGCGCGACACGTGCTGTCGGAGTTGGAATTGAAGGTGACATTACCATAGCACCAGGGTGTTGTGTCTTTACCTGGGCTACAGGTGGGTTCGATGCAGGTGGCTGCTGAGAAGCAACTTGCCCTGCATTGCTTGTCGTCCTATGTGCTTGCGTCGCACCAGCTGTTGCAGCTTGTACTGACGGTGGCGATACCACAACAGCGCCAGGATGTCTTGTTGTCTGCGGTGCCACTGATCTGTTCAGTGCGGGTGCAGCTGGCAATATCATAGCGCCAGGATGTCTTGTTGTTTGTGGCGGCACTGGCGGCTTTGATGGCTGCTGCGCGACAGCTGAAACTTGAGCGGAGGCATTTTGTGGTGCAACAGTTGCAGGCGCAATGGATTGACCGGGCTGGTGAACCACAGGGCCATTGGCTTGTGTCGCAACGGGTGGTTTAGCAGCAATCTGTTGCTGGTTTACAGCTGGCGTTTGCTGCGTACTAACTACAGTTGGTCCTGGGGCTTGAATTGTTGTTGTCGTTGCTGCTGCTGGTTGAGCCGACGCCACGGAACATGACACAGCACTGACTGGGACAGGTGCAGGTTGCGTTGTCGTTGCGGTCACGACAGTTGGTGAGGCGGTGGCTGCACTCAGGATAGTCGGTGCGCTCGCTGGGTCAACGCTTGGTCTCCTGGCGGCACTCGCTGCTGGTTTTGTTGCTTTCGTGGCGGCTCGAGCCTTAGTCGCGCGATTCGTGGTTGCCTTGGGCTTAGCAGGGGGCGCGCTGTTCACTGGAGCCCGTTGTTGTGTAGTGGGTTTCTTGGACGAAGGAACCACGGTTGGAGGATATGGAGCTGCCACGTTTTGTTGACGGGCCGCAGCGCCTGATTTGAGTGCTGCTATCATTTGTTCACGTTGGCGCTTCAAGCGATGCTCGTTAAGGCCAGTGAGATTCTTCATCCCTGGAGACAAGTTCGCGGGCGAGCAAATTGCACACGAATTTGGCTGCGTGCACGACACCAAGTGATACAGCAAATGTTTCATCTTTCTGCACCAAGGAAAAGGACATACATCAAAAGTAGATGTCGTCCCTGGGCAGTCGCGAATGTGAAGCATCAAATACTTCGTGCTCTTGCAAACATCTCTCTGCTGCTGATTCTTATGCCTGATTTGCAACAACGAGAAACGTCAGCTACACATACCAATCAATGCCCCACGTAAACACACAGCAACCGTACCTGCAAGGACAACCACTTGCGTGTAGCATTAGGACAAGCATCCGAGCTGCTTCGGATTCGGATAGGTTGGGACCCTTGTATTCAGAACCAAACTTCTCGTGCTCTGCCTTTTCAGCTGGCGTCATCGATGCTAAGACATCGGCGTCTGAATCGTTGGAATCAAGCGAGATGTCGGAAAGATTGCCATCAGTAATGTCACTGAGATCCGATCCAAATTCAGAATCACTTCCAAACTTCATTTCTCCTGGTACTGAACTCATTGCGTATTTTGTCGTCGGCGGTATCTGATTGACTTGCACCGCCGTATTCGAACTCTCCGCTGTGACAGGCGCGGGAGCGGCTGCAGCAGCTGCCGCGGCAGCGGCATTTGCTCCGTTATCATCGGCGTGAGCAAGTAGCGCTGGATGATATTCGATCGCATTAGCTGGAGCGCTGATATCGACACGAGGGATCTTTGTTGTCATCGAACCGCGATAAACGATGCGTTAGATTTCACCAAGTCTTGCCTGCGTCCAACGAGCAAAAATTCTACATACCTGCGTTTTCCTACATTTTGGACATTCATGCTGTGCTAGTGCCCACCACGGATTGTATTCGCATACGGAGCTGTATGCTTCACTACATAGAGCACAAATGTACTCTACGCTCCGAGGTCCCCTCTTCTTCCCATTCATCTTTCCTCCAATCACTTTCTTTCTGCCCCCACCCGCTTTGGATGCCCCCTGAGCCTGCACGGACTGTTGCATGGCCACCTGTCGTTGGCGTTCATACTCTCTCCGACGTGCCCGCCGTAGCAATAATTTCTTCTTCAGTTTTCGTCTTAGCTTCTTACGTTCTTCGTCCGTTATTGTCGGATCTTCCAGCTTCTTTTTAATCAATATAGCAGTAGCCGATGGAGCGATCCCCGGCGGCTGTGGGGGAGCATCCTTTGGCGCCTTTGGCTGACTCGAAGTCTTTGCACCCGACTTAGCCGTGGTGGGTGTCTTTGTAGACGGCTGTGAAGCTTTTGTTTTGGTTGTAACAGCTTGTGGCTTGGCCACCACGACGACTGTCGGTGCAGGTGCCGGCGGAGGAGGCGGCGCTGGAGCAACAGCCACTGCTTTGGTCGGAGGTTGAGGGGGTCGTGGTGGAGGAGCAGCAGCCTTCTTTGGAGGTGCCTCCACCTTTTGTACGCGTGGAGGTTCAGCGACTGTACTGTGCATCTGATGGGCAAGTTGTACTCCCGATGCAACTTGTGCGCTCCCAGGAGCCACACCAGCACACAATACCTTCGGATCATCCTCACTCGATGGCTGCGAGTTACCAACGCCGTGACCATGCTTCCTTCCTTGAGACCCCAGCGTCTGCCCGTGGAGCTTTTGGGTCAACGACGATCCTCTTCGACCCAAAGGTTTGCCAAAATGGGTCTTGTCCTGGGGTACTGGTTCAGCTGGAGGTAAAGGTTGGTGATGCTGCTGCTGTTGAGCAGCCGCCAAAGCTTCGGCTTCCTTCCGCTTTTGCTCCGCCGCTGCCGCAAAGGTCCCCTTGCCTCGGTCCGCATCCGAAGGCTGTAGCATTCCACGTCGTGTGGCTGGCATGCCAGCCGGATTGCGAGTTGCTCCTTGCTGGGCTGCTAGCTGTTTCTTGAGCCTCACTTTGACAGGCAACAGATTGGCAAGAATGTGCTCTTCCAGTTTTTGAACGTTTTCTTCCTCTTCCTTTTCTTCCGTGAGATTGGCTAGGCTAACCGAGTCGGCCCGTTGTTTCTTTGCTTGCTCCTCCATAGCCTTGTTGTTTCTAATGTTTTGCACAGCCGTATGAGGGCTGCCAACGCCCACATTGACCGTACTTTTCCCTTCTGCTTCAAGCCTACAACCCAGATCAATTTGTCGTATGGTGTCTTCCAAGTGAAGGATGAATGAGTGTAGTTTTTCTCGTCTTTCTCTGGACCCCGCAGATTCCTCGATTTGTGTGGCCCCCTTGGCTCCCAAGAGCTGGCGCTCAAGTTTTCGGAATTCTCGCAGCATATATTCGAGTTCCCCCGTGTATTTGGTCCGTAAATGAGACATTTTCAGGGCTTTCAAAGGAGGCACCCCTTCAGGTTTCGGAGCTGGTCCTGATGCTGGCCGAGCTTGTACGAGCTGTTGTGATGGGGCACTTGCCGACGGAGCAGTTGCAGGTGGAGCTGCAGTGCGGGGGGTTGCAGCAGTTGTCGAAACAGTTGGAGCGGATGCAGCTGTTGTCGTCGATACGGGGGCCGGGAGACTCGCCCTTCTTTGAATGTTTCCATCGGATGTTTTCTTTTCTTCCACTGGTTTTGGCAGGGCTGCAGTTGTCGCAGTTGTCACAGTCGCCACCACTGGAGGCGGCACAGTCGTTTGCACAGCCGTTTGCACAGTCGCTTGGACAGCCAGAATTTTGTTGGCTTCCGCAGTGGCTTGTACCTGAGGAACTGCAATTTTTGGTGGGGGAACAGCCGTAGTCCTGGGAGCCTCAGATGTTGTGATTTGTACGGGGGCAGTAGCTGTAGCTGGCTTCTCGATTGGTGGTGCTACCACCGGAACAAGTGCTGGAGGGGTAGCTGCTACTGGTTCTACTTTGACACGTTTTGCCTCTGGGATCTGTGCCACCGGGAGAGCCGCTGCTGGCCGCTTTGCTTCTACAGCAACGACCGAAGGAGTCTTGTTTTCCACCTTGGTTTCTTGCATTTGGCCATTCTCACTCATTGGATGATTATTGTTGTGCTCGATGGCTCTAGCTAATAGTGATGGAAGCAGAGACTAATCGTTTCGGGTGGACATTTATCTTCAGAAAGCTGATAGTGCTACCAGTGCTAAACTTGGATCGAGGTCTTGTTTGAATATCAGATACCCTCGATCAGTCGGACAAGATAGACCTAGACTACTTGGAGGATGCGCAACCAAAGAATTTTTAAAGAACCAACCCAGCCTTTCTTGCTGCGCCCTAAAGGAAGGGACACAAGAGACACTAACAACGAAGCTGGAGGGAAAGACACCGCGTGATGGCTCTACAGTGTACTCTGGAGTATTGAAAAGAAGAGTCGGTAACAGAGGATACCGAAGTTGAAGTCTCTTTGTTGCCATCAGCCCGCGAACAGCCAATCGAAAAGCACAGATTGTGAAGGTGTTGGACAGCTGAGTACGTCATTCAAATCCCTTGATGTTCGTGGTACCAAAAGTTTTAACATTTGGATTCTTGGCCAATCGCTGAGGTTTCCCTTACAGAAAAGCATTAAGATACCAGGGACCCATTCATTGTGATACCCACTTGGGCAATTAGCCTCAAAACGTGAAATCAGAAAAGGTGAAGCTGAGTACAGCTAGCTTCGGGCCACTCATTTCAGGTGGCTGTGACGCAGGATAACCATGGGTTGTGCATACCGTACGGTATGCATAGTCTACAACTAGTAGCAGCTCTAGCTAGTAGCTGGCTACATCGCACAGTACTCATACATGTACCGACTGGGGCTCTAGCTAGAGTGGTAGCAAGTAGCTATTTTGTCGACACTGGATACTGTCTGGGCTGAACAGAAGCCTCTGCAGTTGATAAAAATGCAGCAAAAAGTGAGAGTGCTGAATACTGTGCCAGGCAACCGCTTCCATTGAGTTAGAAAGAACTGGGACTAATTGAGCCTCATTTGTCCCTACCGGTACTAGCCTGAACCGAACAGCCTGTACCGCAGCAATTACTGGTAGGTGGGATGCTACCGGTACCGGTAGGATTAATGGATGGAGCCCTCAAGCAACCGAGCTAGCTACCGGTATAGGTGCGAAAACGGTAGACTTCTAACTCCAAATCGAATCCTTCAGGGTCAAAAGCTCCTGCCTCATTGGAAACAAGCATCTTGTACTCGAGGCTTAGCGAGACAGGGGCTCATCAAGGGCATCATGACATTGTGCCATGGCGGGTTCAGTGCTGGTACCGGTCATGTATGACATGTCATTTAGCCAGAATCTCTTGACTCCGAAGTTTCAAGCAACTCTGATGGCGTAAAATCTAAAAATGACGCACATGGTGTCACAAAGAGGAAAGGAGCTGCACGCCAGTACTGGTAGCTGCACAGCCCCCCACTGTCTGTCTTCCTTTGAAGAGGTTGTGGAGAACAGGGCAAATAGAAATGAGGACGATGATACCGAAATGGTTGTTTCTAGTGCTGTCTGTTGTGATAGCACTGTCAACTAGAGTCGCTGGTGCCCAGGATAAACGAAGTCCAGAAGATTTGTTTCACGAAACGGCTGAAAAATGGCAAGGCAGGTATTACCAACATTGGGACGAGTTTGCAGCGACGATATTGGAACGCTTTAAGAAGGAAGAGCCCGTGGTGACTGATAGCAGCGCCAATGGAGGATCAAAAACTCTACCCCCTCGACTGGATCTGATAGGAGCGTTGGAAGAGTCAATTTTGATTATAGAACGGAACACACTTCACGAGGGAGCCAACAAAAAGCGCGATAATGCCCTCTCCAAGCTATACCATGCCTATGGGTATACACTCTTGCAATTAACAGCCATCGAATGCCAGTTATTGGCTCTGGACCCACATACCCTTTTGATTGGAGCAGAAACCATCAAGAACGCTGCCTCGCCACCCACTCCGTCGACTCATATATGTACCGAAAACGCCGAGAATACTCTCCGAAATGCTGTAACCTTGGATGCTACCAATGCCGAGGCACAAGCTCTCCTTGATACGATTCTGGAAGAAGAGGATGGAGTCCATACACGAAAGCCCTTGGAATTCATGGCGGCACTCTTTGATGGCTTTGCGGATACCTTTGATGAAAAATTGCTCAAAGGGTTAAACTACCAGGTGCCCAAATTGGTAGGCGACGTTGTCAATAAATTTGCCAAGAAAAATGGGCGCAAAACGTATCGCCATGCCCTAGATGCTGGCAGTGGAACTGGACTAGCTGGCAGGTATCTAAGGCCACTAGTTTCGGGACTTTTGATTGGAGTGGACGCCAGTCAGAAAATGTTGGATATTGCTGCCGATTGCACTCTCACCGCAGGGTGTGGACTGCCCCCCGATCCAGAAAACAACAAAGACGACAATAAGGGCCCACCTCTCTATGATGGCCTTCTAGCCATGGACCTGGAAGCAATGACAGTTGCCAGCACTCTGCTGCCTTTTGCTTTGAAAGCAAACCCGCAGGAAACTGCCAAGTCAACTGGGAGTGGTTTTGACTTGGTTGTGGCTGCAGACGTACTAGTGTATTTTGGAAGCTTGGACACCGTGATTCGGACCTTCCGACAGGTATCTGTTCCTGGTGCTTTACTGGTATTTTCGTGCGAACGAACAACGTCCGAGGAAGCGCCATTGGGATATCGGCTGCTGCCATCTGGCCGATTTGCGCACACGCGAGAGCACGTGGAGAAGGCTGCGTCGAAGGTTGGATATGTGTTACGGTCTTATGAAGAGATTGTGCCCCGCCAGGAGAAGGGAGAGGATGTCTTGGGCCACTTGTTTGCCTTTGAGCTTGAACGACAACAAGATGGATCTGGGCGAGACGAACTCTGATGAAAGTCTCACCAAACATTACCGTCGTGTTAAAGGCCTACCCACGATCCATCAGATGGGATAAGAAGGCTATGGTTGCCTTTTAGTACACAGTCGGCAACTAACTGTAGCACGTATACCTGGCAAATCCAGCTTGCTAGCTTGAAAAAATGAGGAGACTTGTGGTTCACTCCCGCGTTCCTGCCTAGCTAGTAGGAGTTTTGTTCTGATCTACGTGGAGTGCTCTTATGATCTACGTGGATTGCTAAGTTACCCCACGGAAGTAAACTAACTGATGCCCCGCCAAAGAGAGGTCAATTGTAGGTTGGGCTTTGCGCATCCCTCCAGGCCTAAATCCGCTAGAGATCCAAAGGTGTCTTACCATTCTCATCGGTTCGAGCCTCGCTCACTTTCAACTTTCTCAAGATCTCGATGATGCCCGTGCGCTTGTACTCGTGCGCCCACCACATTGGACCTCGTCCATCTTCACTCCTCACATGCGCAGCGGCGGGATTGCCCTTCACAAGCTCCTTGAAATCATCGATTCTATTCTGCGAGATGAGTTCCCACATGTGCGACGTCAGCTCGTTATTCTCCCACGCTTCATTAAACATGTCAATCTCCTCGGGGGTCAGCCTTTGGGGTCGATCCTTCTTCTTCTCCTTCTTCTTTTCGGGTGCCTTTCGGCTGCCGCCTGAGCCCCTGAAAAAGCAAAAGAATCGCGAAACGAAAGTGTAAGACGTCAACAGGCACCAGCTAGTGAGACAATAAGCCCAGTCTCCATGTCAACGTACATTAGATTTTCCATGTACTGCTTTTGATACTCGGAGTCATCTTCGCCCTTCACGTTGAAATCCTCGAGTTGTTTGAAGTCTTTCTTTTGCGCCAAAATCTTCTGTAGTGCCGGTGGATACTGACCGCGGCACACCCAACCACCTCCGTCGCATTTCTTGTTGTCCTTGACCCACTCCTTACTTTCCTTGGACACTTTGAGGACCTTGAAGATTCGGACTTTGCCATACTTGCTGTGGTACACCAATTTGAATCTGCAAACGAAGAAGGTACCAAAACAGTGTCAGCTGGTGCTCAATCCGGTGACAAGATATTGCTTCCAATGTGTCCTCATCCTTACCGATTAGGGTCCGCCTCCACTCCCGGTTTAAGCCTATGACTGTGCAGCTTGTACAGCATACTCTCTCCCATGCGTTCCGAGGGTTCTCCATTGGACTGAATAGTATCGTTGCGCCGAAAGCATGAGTCGTCAGTATGCCGCCAACAGGCCTACGCTCAAACTGGTGACTCGCAGCCATTCACTTACATAGTACCCAAATTCTCGACAAGTAGGTTCACTGCACAAACCTCGATACACGGAGTTCGCAATACGAATCAAGTGAGGAGACTTGGCCAAATCATCTCCACCGCCACCTGCCCAAACAAGGATGTAGTCTGCCAAATGACGAGCCACACGGTGGCCTTCTTTCTCGGAGCTGGTCAATGTCTTTCCCAACAGAGCAATGTGTTCGTGATTCCACGTGTTTCCATCAGCAATTGTGGTACGATTGGCAATGCCTGGAAATGACATGGTCAAAGCAAATCCCAGAGTCAAAAAGACAATGATGCGGACAACACGAAAACGCGTTAATGATGACATCAAGCAGACGGCGAGGTGATGTAAACCTCACTCAGCATGTACGTACCAGTGATTTGATAGCCATAGTCCCACCAAGCCATGATACGAGCATCTTGGGGTGTATTGTCGCGCAACCAAAAGTATGCATCACGGTAATCATCCACCATAACTGTCTCTCCCGACTTGGTTCGAGCCTTTTGAATAATGGTGGGATGAGAGATGTGCTGTGCCATCTGATCACAGGTATCATAGAAGGCGGGCAACCTGGGCTTGATTAATGTAATGACATAAATCGAGACAGCCAAGCGGATCGCACTGATCACGTAGGGGTCTCGTTTCGTGGCCACTGCAGTTAGCGCGGCAACACTTTCAGCGTCCTCCATTGCAGTCTCTGTGGCTTCATCTTTCGCTTTGTTGGCGGCGCCTCCCTTTTTCTTATCCTTCTTGGCATTGGCCTTTTTGGGTGGCGTTGTCGTTTTGGTGGGGGGTGGCGGTGTGACGCGTTCCGTTTCATTTCCCATAATTGCAGCCCACATGGCAGCAGCGTTGGGAGTTTCAGGAAAGATACTTCCAACCATCCAGGATTGCAGGTGTCCCAAGGCAATGCCTCCCAAAGTACTGGCAATGGGAGCCGTCAACAAGATCAATCGAACCATACGGTGCGAAAAGAAATATGCGGCGACCCCATACACAATCAAAAAGCTGCTGGAATCATTGCAGAATGCCACAAGGACCAGACCAAATCCGACTGGAGCAATGTACACAACATCATTGAGATATTGGAAATAAGCGCTGGGAGATGCTGCTTGATGCTCGGCCACACTGTCGACCAACGGATTTCCAGTTTTGGTATGCTTGACAAAGAGTCCACGGATGCGACTGCTGAACGGCCCAAAGTACCCAGTGGGAGCCAAGAAGAAAATCAAGACCATCGCGGCGGCACCCACCATGGAAAAGACGCGGATGCGAAGTTTCCATAAATCGACCATTCCCAAATTTTCCTTGACTTGTTGACGACGGCAGTATTCCAGCAATTGAATTCCCACAAAGGCGACAAAGGGTCCCAATTGTTCCAATGATTTCAACGGCGTCATTCCCACCACAGGCACCCGGGTGGCCAAAAATGTGCCGACAATGTAAAACGACGTGTAGGCTTTGTGCACTTTACCCGAGAATCTTCCCATGAGAACCAAAATGGAGGCATGGACGCCGATCAAATTGATTACAAAAACATAGCCACCCCAAGCGGCCACCATGTAAAAGTAGCAGATACCAGTGATGATTCCCCACGCGATGGTGGTCCAATCGTGTGTCTTATCTCGTAAAGTGCGGGTCCACGCGGCAAAGGTGACGACCATGGCCGTGGTAGCGACACTCTCATTATCATAACCTCCCGCAACACTACGCAACAAGTGAGCAGGAACAATACTCATGATAAGAGCTGTCCAGAGGGCAGATTCCATGGAAGGAGCAGGTCGACGAATATAGGGATGGGGTAGTCCAAGGGTACTTCCCGTGAAACGATGAAGGGTATTCATCAGAGTGGCCAAGAGCGGGGCCACAAATTTTGAGTACAACCAATCAATGCCGGCCAATTGTCCGAGACAGACACGGGTATTGGTATAATCCTGAGTGCATTCGTAGGCCAACCAGGCAGCACCCATGGTAGCCAGCGATCCAAACCAAGCCGGGACGAAGCAACAAATGTCATTGATGGACCAATCGGGCAAGATATACTGCTTAATAGCCACACTGGTGACTTGCATTCCTGGATAAATGGTAGTTCCAACGGGTCGACCCAATGGATACCAGACCATGTCGTCATACCAATGCGAAAAGGCATGCCACCCATGAGCCCATAAATACTCTGCGGCGCGGTAGTTGAAATAGGGATCAAACTCATGGATAACTCGACCGTACTCCTTGATGGCGTAGAGACGAATCTCGTACGCCATGGTGACGGCATAGTAAAAGCCTTGCAAAATAGCCAAAAAATACAGCGAGTACAGAATTAAAGGAAGCGTAGAAGGTGTCTTGGATAAACTCTCGTCAGCAGCATTGTCGTCATTCGACGTCTTGGCATTATCATCGTTAGCGCCTCCATTGGAGGTGTCATTGGTAGACGGAGCCATGATCGATCGCTTCTAGTCTGGTGCCTCTCTCACAGTAGAGCACAACAGTCTGTCTTCCACAAAATCACAACCTATGCTGCTCGTGACTTGTGTGAGCCTTCTCGGGGAAAGATCCAAAAAGAGGGGCGCCGAAAACAATGCCGCCGTTCACTCACATGACCGTTGCACCGTCTGGCCGTCATTGTTTATCAAAAGCCAGCAGAGCCTCTTGTTTGTCCACGGCCTTCTGGGGTTGACAATCTCCATTGCCCCTTCCATTGACAGTGGCAAACTGCACGAACAGTACGGTACCTACCGGTACCACCGGATGAATGTGTGTCTGTTTGTTATCTCCACCAGTTCTGTGTGTCCGCAGCTTCACCTGCAATGCCCGAAGATGGAGCTCGTTAAGTTTCCCTTGGAATGGAAACAAGCTGTCGACTGTTAGTGGAAAAATTAGACTAGAAGTATCATCTTAGCTATCCAAAAGCCGTACACAGCTAGCTAGATCCATCCAGAGAGTTCCAGACGATGGGCTAAAGGTCACTGTCGATCTCCGAGGGCTTCAGCAAGCCAGGTACTGCACTTCGTTGCGCCATCCGAGCTTGTTCTTGCTGTAGTTTCGCTTGTTCTGTTTCGTCATTGAACATCTCAGAGTTGTCTTCCGCACTGAACTCCTTCAATTGAATGAGGAAATCTCGCAGATGCGTCTTGAACGTGGGCAAGTCCATCTTGATGTCGAACATACCCTCTACGAATCTGGCAACTTGCGCACGGGTCAAATTTGGAAAGCTTGTAATAAGAAGGGACGATATATGCTCCCGAAGGAAGGCGGGGTTGGTTTGGCCAGGTGGCTGCGTTGCTGGATCGAAGAGAGGAACGGTTACTTGATTCATTTGCACTAGATGGAACATGAGCCGCAGAAGTGTCGCGTGCATTTTGAAACCGGATTTGTGTAGACGATCCGTCATCACCGAGAAGACGTCCTGGATGAGAGTAAGAAGAAATGATCGATAAAAAGGTTGTGCCACTTGTGGAGATCTTCCCACATTCAGCAGCAACTCATGAAGGATTTCAAGTCCCTAAACGAATGAACGAAAATAAGGTTAAGGCATTCGGCAACCAACCGTACAGTACAAACGCTCTTCGGCACGTACCGTATCTGATATATTTCGCTCTGTGTGCTTCATCGCCCAGACGACAGCGTCGACGACGAGCTTTTGATGTTGTGGTGGGATATTGAAAAGAGCTGGGAAACAGTGCTGATTTATTGCCTGCGACAGCGGAACCAGCGATGAAGATGTCAGTGAGGATTGAACAACGATTACAACCAAAACAACCAGAAGACGAGGCAATAACACGAACACGGACCTTCAAGAATTCAAAGAATCGGATTCGATGCTCTGGAAAGTCCTCGAAGTTTGTTGTGATCATAGTGAGGGTGCACTCAAAGACAGCTTCCATAATCCTTGGTACGTCCTCAACAACGTTGCTCTTCAGCTTTTCGACAACTGTCGCAAATAGAGTCAACACCTCCGGATCCCGAGCACCCGCTATGTTTCGTTTGTAGTCGCCCAAGATGGGATCGAGCACCGGAGGAATGAAACCCTTCGCTACTTCTCGCGGTTCAGCCTCCGGCGGTCCGCTCTTGTCGATAAAGACAATAAGCAACCGAAGCACTTCCTTCTTTGCACTTCTCATTGTTCTAACCAGACTCATTTGCGTTGCAATGGCTCCCTGCTGTGCGATCGCTGCTGATATCCGCTCAGAATAAACCTTGTACACGTTAAGCATATCGAGGAAGAATACTTGGAGCTGATGGAGGAAGAGCGGCCCAACAGATCCGCACACTCGGTTGTTCGTCTTGAGGATTTTGATGATTTCCTTGATGGTGCTGGGTGCCACGAGCGTTTCCACATTCCCCTTTGCCTGTTCCATAATGACGCTCCACGTCCGGTTCGGCAACTCCATGAGCTTGGCCAAGATGCCCCGCCGGTCGATGGTAACAGCAGGGCCTCTGTCATTGAGCATGCAGCCAACGGCTTCGTAGAAAGCCTGGACTTGGTGCGGCTGCAAGTCACTAATGATGCTGGGAAGTGTGTCAACAAGCTCGCAGATAAAGGGCGTATTTTCCTCCGCTTGCAGAGTCACGAATTTCCGTTTGCATTTTGTCGCAATTTTCAAAAATGTATCACAGGCCATATCTTGCACACCCGGGTGGCACTCGTGCATGAATTCGAAGAGCTTGTTGACGACAGTCTTCAGAAACTTCCAATGCGCTTTCAAGAAGCGGGGATACTGCCCCACCACATACATGATATTGCTGGCAACAACGGCTTTGTTGTCTTTCCCCCGTTTCTGCTCGCACAGCCCAAGCAGATCCTTGATGACAGTAACAAGGAATCGCTTTTCCTCGTCCTCTGCCATCGCTCCAGATATCGAACCGATCGCCCAACAAAGCGTATTGAGGTTGTTCCACGACCATGCCGATCCGTCTACTTGCTCCGTGAGCTTGGACAACATGATGCTTTCCGTGTCTTCGCAGTTGAGATGGGTCAAGTAAACTAGCGTGTCACGCATGGTCTTGTACTGTGCAATGACATCCGTGTCTTTGGTGGTTTCTCGGACGATATCCCCATTCTCGTCCTCCACAATCAACACTTCCTCGGGTTTGGCCATGTTTGCAATCATGACTTGCCGCACTCCATTCAAGACGGGGCTGTATAGGTACTTTCTAGGAGACGCCGCGTTTCCCATGGCCATAATGTTGCGATTGTTGGCGGATCCGTTCAAAACACTACTGTCGCTGTAGGGATGTTCCGACTTGTACAAGTCCTCCGCCAACATGTGCCACGCCTCCAAGCAGATTCTAAAGATTTCGGTTTCTCTGACTTCGGATATTCTCACCAAGTAGAAGAGCCCGGTGATGAGAGCTTGGTGGCTGTCTGGAGACCCTTCCAGCGCCTTGAGGTGGGCTTTGATGAATCCGGAGAGGAACAGGGATAGCTTCTGCAAGAAGAGGCGGTCGTTTTCGGTTCCGCTGGCATATGCCGGTGCCAGGTCGGTTTCGGGCGTGAAGATGTCATTGAGGCGTGTCAAGAAGCTTGCGAACATTTGACAAAAGAGAATGTCGTACTGAGGCTCCAAGTCCGACAGGCACCCGATTTCTGTGAGACAATCGAGTGCCTCATTGCGGAACATTACTTCCACAAAGAACTTGTTGATTAGAATGTCGATCAATTTTGTTTGGAAGATGAATCCGAGCGGAATCCATGTCAGAAATCGTTGTAAGGTCTGTAGGGTGACTTTGAGCAGGCTCGGCCGCTGACTTCGTTCTAGGACGAAATCGCATAGATGGTAAATGGCTGAGAATTCGCTGTTGAGGCTCTCTTTCATGGTCTTTACTTTTTCCGTCACCATCTGATCTCGTGAAAAGTCAAAGACTTCTTCCGATAGGAGTTTCAAGATGAGCATATTGTTTTCGCATAAGAGCTCTGATGTTTTGCTACTGCCGACGAGATCGGAAATGAAGGAAGGCCAGTTGTGCGGCCATTCTTGCTTTAGAATTTCGACCAGCGTGAGATTCAATTTCGACAGAAAGACCTTTTCCCGTTGCAGCACAGTCTCGTCCGACGACATGCTGATGATTTTCCCAACCACATACGATTTGATTCCGTCTCTCTGATCCGGCGGCAACACTTTCCATCTACCGTACAAGACAAAGCAAGACATGAGTGAGACATGGTCGACGAAAATGACGGCGGAATGAATGATATCGATCGAAGCATTCCTCCTTACCTCGTCTTGATGGCATCATCGAGAATCTGCAGACCAAAGAATCGAGCGCTGGGGTTTTGCGATTTCTCCATGATAGCGTCGGCCTTTTGCCACATTCCATCGATTCCCTGAAGTTGCATGAGCGCCTTGTTGGCATCGGCTCTGTGCGGCGACATTGGATCGTACGCCGCAGCGACCAACTGGTCCAGCAAGAACACATCAAAGTCTTGCGATTGGGTCAGCCGTTGCATAATGGACCCTACGTCCATCCCGTTGGTTGTCGTCGCCATGGTGTGGGTTGTTGTTGTTTTTGCTATTGCTTGTTATTGACCGTGTGTAGAAGAAGAAGAAAGAAATCGGCGAAACTGGATGGACGCTTTCACAAATTTCGCAGCTCGGTACTGCGTAGCACGTAGAATTCACGTAGACTCCTCTTCTTTCGACGGATTACAGCCGCTTTCCAAGCTCCCTCCCTCTAGCTAATAGTAGAGCTGCCCTGGGTGCCAGATACTCCAGCAAGTAATTCAACAGTATTCAATCACAACCAACCGGCCAGGATTGGCCTGGAAAGAGAAGAGTGACTTGGTTGGGCTCCACACAAACAACAACAGAACTTCCGCGTTAACAACAATGGTTGGCAATGCCAAAGACAAGAGAGACAAGCTGTGTGGTGTGCCGCCACAAGCTGGGAGAAGTCGAAGCGCAGGCCACGCGCTGGGTGGGAACACGGGACTGGAACCAAGATTGTTCCGTTCTCCAAAGCGTTCCACACTCCACAAACTCCCACCCACAAAAGGCTCCTTCATGGGTTTGCACAAGCTTCGCAGAAGCTGTAGAATGTTAACTTAGCTGTAGAAAGTCAGGGGATGGCCACAACATATTGCTTCAGGGACAACCTGTCAGTAAGACACCTGGCTAGACAACTAACTGATTTATGTGATCATCCAGAGATTCGATTCCTATGAAAGTGAAAGGCCCCTCCCTCCCAAGCTCATTTTCCAAAAGACCAGTCACCTGATTGTTGGCCCTTGAGCATTGTTGTAATACGAATGATAAGTAGCTAGCTAGCAACTGGCAAACGATTTGCAAGCCTATCATGGTTATTTATTAGTTAGTCTCGAGGGGAAGACTACTGTACGACATCTGCCTCAGAAGAGTACAGCCATGCTACAGTACTCGTGCAAAGGTTGGAGTGAGGGGGCTGGGCCATGAGTACCGTATCCGGAAAGAACGACGGTACGACAAAGCTAGGAAAAAGTGTTGACGACTCAACTCGACGCTGTCTACATCGGGTACTGGCTGGTGCGTTGCGAAGGACAATCAAATTGAGAGAGATACATGGAACCTCGAAACGTTAGGGAGGAGCGAATAAAAAGACCATTCTTATTAGGGTTGTTTCCCAGTCTGTAGATGCGACGCACTCTGAATGATCGCCAGACCTAAAGTCAGTGCTGCGGTAGCATCCGCCAGCTAAATACTAGAGGCATGCCACTGAATCGTCACGGCCGACCGACGGTTCATACATCGTCCATGCCTTCTTCCAAGTCCACATATTTGAGGATATTCTTCATGAAACGGTCAACCACGCGAGTCTAAAAATAAAATAAAATACACACAACAACGAAACTGAGCAACAAGGAGGAACACATCGTCGTAATTTTCATTTCCCTCTCCCCCGAACCTACGTACCTGATTGACCACATCCGTTCGATCCATTTCCGCCAAGGGCTTTTCCGACAATTCACTGAGATTTTCCGTGAAGCGTTCCAACATTTCCTGGTGGTGCTCGAAGCGTTCCTTTCGCATCGCCTGCTTGTCCGTGGCGGTCAAGTAGTATGCGTAGACATACGTGTATTTCAAGACCCGACGACATTCCACCAACTGTTCGTTTGCCGTTTTGAGAAATTCCACGTCCGACCATCTAGCGTCATCTGACGACTCTTGCAGGAGGACCATGCGCGCCTCGGTTTCCTTCAGCTGCTTCTTGGCGAATTTCTGGGCTTCGGCATGAGCGTGGAATCGTTTGTAGTAGTGCAAATATCGATCCAGTTCGCGCTTGGCTTTCGCCGCATCCGACATATCCTCCGGTCCGCCATTGTTCGGGTCGTATTTGTTGCATTTGTAATAGCCACCCGTGTTGGCCCCGTGGTCATTCCAATCCCCCATACAAATCCAGCAGAACTCACCCTTGCATCTCTGGCAGGTCATGTGGTTGCAGCCCTGGTTCTTTTCGATTCGGCTGACACATTTCGGGCATGATTTGGTGTTTGCTAAAATCCAATTGGCGGTTTCGGATTCGTTTCTGCATTTTTCGTTCCATCGGGCCAATTCCTTACAACCCGAGGGCGCATGGGGTTCCTCTCCACACACGAGACAGAAGGAAAGCTGACAGGCTTCGCAGTGAGCGACATTGTCGTCCTGCTCCATCGCCGAGGCGCTGACGGCACTAGCGATTTGTTCACAGCCTTTACCGGGACACCAGCGTGTAAAGTTGCTCGATTCCACAAAGGAACGAAGCTGGAAGCTGCAAAAGCGAGTGTAGAGTTGTGGTGAATCCTTTTCCAGCGAGGCTCGCATTTCTTCTTCGGTGACTACTTCGGAACATCCGGCCTGTGGACAAGTGGCGCGCACACAACTAGGACCCTCTTCTTTGACAGCGTTGGCACAGAAATCGTTCCAGCATTGACAGCAAAACTCATGAGAACACGGCATGGCTCGCATATTGGACCCCTGATGATCATCGAGGCAAATTTCGCAGGTGCGTACTCCTTTGGTGGGTCTCACAGGCCGAGGGTTGCAGCGAAAGTAGACTCCACACTTCTTCAACAGCTTTTCGGGATCGTTGTAGTAGACTTCCAGCAAGCCTTCCTTGGACCATTTGTGTTCGCGAAGAAGAGCCGCGGCAGCAGCAGTGGGAATGTCCAAAACTTCCGTGACATCTTTCAAACGACGCTTCATCTCCGGCATTAGGTCTTCCGCTGGCATCATGCGGATTCCTGACTTGGCCCCTGTTCATCCAACAAACACAAGAGACAAGAACGTCAAGTGAAAAGAAAAGAAAAAGGAATAGTTTTCGTTCGTGAGTGACGAGACTGCGTAGCCTCCAGTACTGATCCTACAGCGGCATCACCCACCTGCACTGGACGCCAACACCATGGGCGCAGCATTGGGGTTTTCTCCAGAGTTCGACCAGTCCATCTCCTCATCGTCGGACACTGGGTAGTCGCTACCTTCATCGCTGTATTCATATTCGTCCTCAGATGCCATCTTGGTATCTTTTGCCAATTCACAATCAATCGATCAATCAATCAACCAAACCTGTACAGTCGTTCAGTCAGTCAGCCTCTTCAGAAACAATGGGATCTGGATGACTGTCGTCTCTTATTCCGAGTTCGAATGCTGCTTTTACTCGATGGAATCGAATGAATGAATCGAATCGAATCGAAGAAGGGGTTGAAACATGCATTGGTCTGTCCGAGAAGGGGAATGATTCGATTCGATTCAATCATTCAATCCCGTCTTCGTTTGACTGATATCGTTCGCTACTGTACAGTCGTATCGTCTGTGAGGTTGCGTTGCTGTACCGTACAGTACTGCGACTGCATTGCCGCGCCATTCTTCAAACTGGGGGTTGGCTCTAGCTCATCCTGGATCCACATGTACCGGTGCCCAGCTTGCCAGGCTGGATGATAGACTACCAACGTACCAACGCTCCCACGGGAGCTCCTCACATCATGACTCCTTCATCATGCTGGGAGCTTCTTGAGCAGAATACCCCTACTCAGTACATAAATTTAGCTGGCTCATCGAGATGACGTGGAAAGATCCATTGGAAAGAGGAGGAGGATATGAGGACCGATCGTAGCTGGGAAAGGGGTTTTAGATGTGGAGAATATCTACCGCAGCAAGCCAGCTACTACGGCACGGGGGCAAGGCTAGGCTTAGTTGGCTGGAGGTACATGTATCATGGTACCATGGTACCAGGAATCAACCATTGATTGCAAAGCATCTTATTATCTTTTTTTAAGTGCCACCGTGCTCCACTTGCTTGGCTAGTAGCTACGTTACCGGGTACGAGTACATGCCGTAATAGAACAGTACTGAACAAGTAGCATCGAACCGGGCGGATTGTAAAGCGAGCATTCGGTATGGTAGTACCCGTACCGGTACGGTACCGGTACGGGACATCTGCATCTGCCTCCAATACCGGGCCGTAGTACCGCCCCTGAAGAAACCGCGTGCGTGAAGCATTTGGACCTTGGCTTATTACAACTTGCGCCTGAAGCTGATGAGGATTTGACATCTAGCTAGATCTATTTTTAGAAATCGCCACGTGATACTTTACAAAGGGGTGTCTTAAAACTGAGGGTTCCCTTGCTTATCGCATCGCTTGGGAGCGTTGAGATCGCAGGGTGGTTGGCCGTTGCTTTTCCCAGCTCGAGGGGCAGCTCACCCATAATCCATACCAAACTCCAAAACCCCAGCTGCACTTGAGAATCCATTGCCTCTCAATCCGACAATCAATAGCAGCCATTCCATTTGCCAATCATGCCGAGACGAAGGCCTTCTTGGACTAGTCTTCTTGCCGCACATGTTTTCTTCATCTGGCATCTCCTTACTTCAACAGTCTCTGCAGTTGGGGAGACGACAAAAAGGATGCTGGATGACATGACGCTCCACTTTGAATCCAATACCTATCCGGATTCCCTTTATGAGGAGTTTTCCAACTGCATGGCGAAATGGGGTGTTGAGCGTCTTGAAGAGACCCAAGATGTGGCTTTTCAGGCCTTCTATGATACTTATCTGGCAGGTGGTATAGCGGATGATGCATGGGGCAACAGACAAGACAATTTTGTCGAGTCGAGACTGAATAAATCCGCAATCTTTGGGACTGCATACAGGACCTATGAAATACAAGAGCCGTGTAACTATGCAAGCAATATTGCATTCCACCGCTCGGCTGTCCGTGTGTGCGACAGAAAGACATGGAGTCTCCCAGTTTCAGATCAAATTGCTCTGATGCAGACCTTTGTAACCACTGGAACATCTTCGGCCTGGTTTCATGGGAGCTTAACAGATGTTGGACGACAGTTTGATGGATTCTTGGTATCCCATTTGATTAACACAGGCTATCAGCTGGCAATCCGCGGCACAAGTGCCAACACCACAATCCTCTTGACTGTGACCGAAGACCTTGAGCCTACTCCATTTGCTCAGATTTCAAGGGACCTTGCATATATGCCACTTAATTTTAGTGTTTCAGAATGGGAATCATACATGAATACATTGCCACTGCTGCGAAGATACAACAGAGTGGCAGTGGCATTGATGACAGTGGCCTGTGCGGGATTCTTCCCATTTTCTATTTGCGAGTGCCTCGTGGTTGACGTCGTGGCCCCGGTATTCCTTGACGAGAATGATTTAGATTTCATTTTGAACAAGTACGTTCCAGAACTGAAGGTCCTTATCGAGACTGACGACCTCCCACTTGGACTATCAGAGGGTGGTGCACTATGCATCAGGATGCTGGGAGCTGTGCTTGGAGTCTTGTGGGCGTTTCTATTCCAGGAGAATCAACTGCCCATTCCTGGTTTGGAAGGAGAAGTTTTCAATCTCACTGCTTTGGGTGCAATAAAAAGCCCCGCGGTGGATGTGTTGCTCTACCTCATTCACGGCGTTAAAAACAGCGATAAGCGAGGATGGCTTGGACCGGACCGAAGAAGCCATCCTTACCCAGGTGCTGAGTTTTGCAACAAAGACTCTCCCCACGCACTATATCACGGATTAATTGCAGATGGCATGTTTGAGTTATATGCAGTAGTTGATCAGGTGGAGGAAGTTCTGACCAAGCGCAACAACCGCAGGAGGAGGATGACAGAGTCACGGTCACTGGAGGAGGAGGTCCAAGACATGAGCACTTTGCATGGCTTGAGGGGCAAGAACGAAGCGGATTTTCTCTCCTTTTGAAAGGGTGCACCAAATCCACCACCAGCCTACTAGCCAGCATTGTTTAGCTAAAGATTGAAGCTAAGCCAACCCGTCCTACTACATCGTACATGTAGCTGGAAGGCCAGCCCATCGAATCGAATCCATTTCGTTGGGTAGCGACTGCACTGCAATGGGCGTTCCAAGCTTTTGAAAATGAAAGATGAATCTATATCAGAAATCTGGCTAGTTACCAGGTAGTGGCTACTTGTCGTCGTCAATAACAACCTCTCCTTGTCCCTCATCTTCCACTTCCACATCTGCCAGTGCCTCAAAATCAGTCATTATGCCGTCCTCAGTTGACTGCAATGTACTCACTGAGTCCGACCCGTCGTTTTCATAATCATCATCCAATCCAGCATCACGTAACTGTCTAGCAAGATCTGTTGACACAACACAAACAAGCAAAGTCGTTAAGGAAAATTTGACAAGACCACACACTTCCACCACCAAACTCCTCCTCTCTTTTAACTATTAGCTCACCTTCATCATCATCCCGATGAATTTGGCTCTTCCGCAAATTGATAGAGTCCATAGTGTAGGTTGATTCCAGATCCGACTGGACAGAGTCAGCATCCGTATTGTCGGCCTTTTGTGCCTTTCTAAGGTTCAGTAGATCTGCACCTGTGAGTGTCGGCTCTTGTCCAGCTCCTTTCTTCGTCGCTTTCAAGGCGTGCGTACTACTGGATCTCGCTGGGACGGTCTTCTTTCCAGGAGCAACAGCTCGATCAGGACGCCGCGGTGCTTGTTGACTCGAGGAAGCCCGTGAGACACCCCTACTAGCAGGCACTCCACGAGCCGCTCGCAATGCACTAGTCGCCGCCTTGATGGCTCCCTGACTACCACGACGGTCCTGTCGATTAGGAGGTGTCAGGGCAGCCAGTTGATTCTTCCCTTTTCGTTCCACTAAATGACTACTGGTCGTCCGTTCTGGGAGCTTTCGGACGCTTGTTCGTTTCTGAAATGCCACTGCAGTACCTGATTGTCGCCTCGGTTTGGAACGCTTTTTCTTTTTGCCATCCCCATCTCCGTCATGATCAGCCGATGCATCCATATCACCACCACCTTGGTCCGACGAATCGGCCATCTCCGCTTCGGGATCTTCTGCTGTCATGTTGCTTCCACTAACTAACAAAAGGAACGACCGAAAGGGTATCGCGTTTCTGGCTCTTCCGAGTTGTTGGAGATACCTCTTTCACAGACTTCTGTACTGGCTACCGATAGATAATCAGGAGACACGTCTTCCTGGATTCGCTTTCCAAAGGTAGGATCTTGGACACCCGCACAACAACAAAACCTCGAGAGGCAAAAGAAGATAGAAGATGAAAAAAGATACACACTAGCTAGAAGCAGCGAGTGTTGTTAGCGATGAACAAAAGGAGAGCTTGCCAACTAAAAGCAGTAAATGCATGGAGGGAAACACTTTACAGCGTTTAGTAGAGGATGTGTTGGTGGGTGGCCGTAGCGTCGGTACTACCACCAACACACTTCAGTGAAGCAACATGGGTCACAGAAACCGCGCAGAGCCAGTATAACAATGACCGCATTAGGAGTAGGACTATTATGATACCGGTACCGCCAACCCTATCTGATTTTTGAAAACTCTGCAGGCCTCTCCGCCTCACCGGTTCGATTGAATTCGGCCTGGGCTCACACAACCAGAAGTTGGAAATCTAACATGCACTCCATCAGTGAGTACATTCACTGAATACAGAACCACATCATCCAATACATGGTAACCAGAACCATGCTACAACTCTGCAAATCGAATCCATACAAACAACACCTGGATCCACTTCTTATACTGGTTTGGTTGGTGGACCCAGCCGCATTACAACAAAGAGAACACCTCTGATGATGTGTCCCACATAGTAGTGGTTATTCCAACCCTGAGCCCGTAGCATAGCTCAGAGAATAGGTACCAGGAGCAACAGCTAGTAGGTGTGCTAACGGTCCTTGACTGTCCTTGACGGTCCCACAGTGCTTGGTACCGGTACCGGAACCTGATGGCTTTGCTGGCTTTCAAAAGATCCAATCCCAAACCTGCCGAATTGTTGCGTTGATTGGATTCGATTCCCTGTCCGGTCTCAGATCCTTGCGCATGATGTTATTAGAGGCAAGCTGTGTGGAACCGGCAAGGACCGTTACCGGTAACACACAAGGGTCTCAAGGCAGCAGGAAACCATAAAGTATCACAAAACAAAGATGGAGGAAGACATTGGCAAGAGAGCCCTATCCAACTGCGGCCCATCATCACTCGATCCACACAAGCGAGCAAAACAATCTATCAAGGTTTATAGTCAAGAGGTGTCCCAAGCCCTGTCCTCTCTCCTTCAGCAACTCCAATTCATCAGCAGCACAGGTGTAAGCAAATCAGATGCAACACAGGAGCTTGAGATGGCCTTGACCTTACAAAAACAGGTGAATTCAGTTGTCCAACAGGCAACTACCAATGTCAGGCTTGCCGAGGACGATTCCTGCTTGCGGCACGAGGATATGTGGACCAACCAGATCTTCCCGTTTTTGGGCATGGGACATTTTGCCTTTGTGGCTCCAGTCAGCCATAAAATGAAAGATCTTTACTCGGCTTATTGTGGAGCCGTGGAGAATCCTCCAAAGTCAAACGATTACCATATGGACACCGATACATTGGAAAAGGTCTCAATCACCAGCACGGATACTCTCCTCGAAGCAGTCTTCTCTAGTCTTTCTCGAGCAGAATATTGGTACAGGCACCGTAGTACTGGGAGCAACTGTACTGGGTCTGGTGGACAGATCGATGGTGCCAGGGTTTGTGCCGCAGCTGCCAGAGCGGGCTGTATTGAAGCTATTCAATGGGCCCACAACAAGGGATTCGATTGGGACGAAGCCACATGCAGTGATGCTGCCAAGAATGGTCATGTACAAATCCTACAATTTGCTTACGATCATGGCTGTCCTTGGGATGAAAACACATGCCACAAGGCTGCTGAAAATGGTCACTTGGAATGCCTCAAGTTTGCTGACGAACATGGCTGTACATGGGATGAGGACACATGCAGCAATGCAGCCAGAAATGGCCACCTGAAAATTCTGAGGTACGCCCATGAAAACGGCTGTCCATGGGATGCAGGCACATGCAGAAATGCTGCCAGAAATGGCCATTTGAAAATTCTGAGATATGCCCATGAAAATGGCTGTCCTTGGGATCAATGGACATGCACCCAGGCTGCGGTGAATGGCCATTTGGCATGCCTCAAGTACGCCCATGAAAACGGCTGTCCATGGCATGGTAATACAATTGCAGCAGCTGCTGAAAATGGCCATTTGGAAATTCTGAGATATGCCCATGAAAAGGGCTGTGTTTGGGGAAATGACACATGCATCAATGCTGCTCGAAATGGCCATTTGCAAGTTCTAAAGTATGCACATGCGAATGGATGTCCATGGAATGAGCTCACATGCAGCCTTGCTGCATACAATGGCCATCTGGAATGCCTCAAATATGCGCATGAAAATGGATGTCCATGGGATGAGGACACGTGCCGTAGTGCTGCCAGAAATGGCCATTTGGAAATCCTGCGATATGCACATGAAAATGGATGTCCCTTGGATAGAAACACATGCAGCCGTGCTGCTATGAATGGCCATTTGAAATGCCTGAAATATGCACATGAAAAGGGATGTCCATGGAATGAGCTCGCATGTACCAATGCTGAAAGAGGTGGCCACCTAGAAACGATGAAGTACCTTCATGAGAATGGCTGCCCTGGTTCTGAACATTTCCCTGTGATGTGGTGAGGATGAAAAGCAGCTGGCTATACTCTGATGACAAATTCTGGAAGAGTTTTGGGTTACTTAAAAAAAAAGGAAACACTTCAACGGACGGAAGCTTACTCCATCAGTGAGTACATTCACTGAATACAGAACCACATAGTCCAATTCATCGAAACCAGACCATTTATTTGCTCCAACTCTGCGAATCATACAACGTAACCACAACCTAAAACCACTTCTTCTTCTTCTTCTTCTTCTACATGTACTGTTTTGGTTGGTGGACCCAGCCACCATCACATAGTAGTGGTAGCTCCAACCTGAGCCCGTACGGTGGCATAGCCCGGCAAACGTCAGTAGCAGCCGGTCCTACTGGGTAGCAATCCATGGGCCTTTAGCGGCTCCTCTCCCGGGCATTCCAGTGCTTCCCAACCGTGCATTGCTACGTGAGGCAAGTTATTGGCACGCAACAACCACCAAGTGAATGATTTGCAAAAGAGTCGAGTTCAATAAACGGAGCTCAGCCGACTTTGGAGGAGTGAGTCGATTCATGGAAGAGATGCAATAGTACAAAATGGAGCAATCATTTGAGAGATCCATCGTTCGCTCCCATTATTTTGCTCCCACCTCTTCAAAAAGCATAGCCTTTGGTTTTCGTTTGACAAGATCCTACATGAAGCCAAGGCATGGTCTGAAAGCCGGTATTTATGGAGTCCGTGGTACAGTACTGGTAGACACGTAGACACTCTCGTCCTCGGCAGATAACCAAAACTTGCAAAATCTAGATACAGAGTTACGTGCGTTTTGGCTGGCTAGCTAGCCAGCTAGCTGTTATATTAATAATAAATAAGCATATCCAGCCATCGCCTTTTTTTCTCTCAAGTTCCCCGCTTACTCCTTTCCCGATCTCGTTCTTCCTTTTCCAATTCAAATTTGCGACCGTCGACGCGACCGAGAAAGTCTTGTTTGACGAGAAAGGCGTCTTTTCCTTGGGCCTTTTTCTCTAGCTCTGCCTCGAGCCCCGTTTCGGTCTTGAACGAGTCCCAATCGGCGGATGTTTTGGCCACGGTGGATATTTTGGAATGTCCGGCAATTTGTTGCAAGACGGAATCAATGCCACCGGATGGCTTTTTGGTAACAGTAGTGGTCTGTCCTCCTGGTTGGACGGCCACTTGGATCTTTTGGCCCGCAAACAGTTTGGTCTCGTATTGAGTGGATTGTTGTTGTTGCTGTTGAGAGGCAGTGCTACTAGTTGTGGATGCCGTCCATTTTGGTTGTTGTTGTTGTTGAAGAGCGGCAGGTCTCCGTCGCTTATTATTACTGGGGCGAATCGACGCTCCCGTTTGCAGAATGCGAGCCGCTCGCATGGGTCCCAAGGCTTGGACCAAGAGCTGGGTCTTTTGGTCCATTTTCCCTCTGCGCCGTGGAAGTTGAAAACTGGTGCCCCATGCGTATCCAAAAAGGTCTTGAAAGGCTTGATCGACAGCCCGTTTTTGCGCCGGTGCCAACAGAGTCGTCTCTTCTTCGACCACTTCTGCCATCATGGGTTCTTCGTCGCCGTCCTCCTCTTCCTTTTCCTGCTCTGGATTGTAGTCTTCATCATCTTCTTCCTCGCTGTTCTCTACAGCGTTCTTGTCGTTCTTCTTCTCGTCATCGTTGGTGGTACTGGCAGTGGGCTCTGTCATCTTGCCGGTGGTTTGTTGGCTAGTTCTCTAGAGCTAGCTAGAGTTTGCTGTTGGATACTTTGCGGTTGGATGTTGACGCTCTGAAGCTGGGAGAAAGAAAAGTGGCGGTGGTTTGGGTGTAAATGCAGTGTTGCTGGTTGATACGACCGCCAACAACCCTCAACTCGACACCTTCGGAGCAATCGCCGTCTCTTGTCTTCGGTGCAAGTAAGTAAGAAAGGAATAAGCTAACCAGTCGCCCAACAAGGATACCATGTCGAGCTCACCGACTCCCGAGATGTGGTCGTCAATGACCAAGCTGGTGCAATCCTTCATTCAAAAGCCAGATGCCGGTGAGTGAGTTTGTTCGGGTTGTGTTTTGTTTGGATTGTGTGGGGGCGACAGTACTGTACGGCTTTCTCACTCATCTATCTGTTGTCCATTCGATCGATCCATAGAACCCTTTCGAGAGCCTGTTGACTGGCAAAACTTGGGTAAGTTTTAGTGTGACTACGAGATGATTCATCCTGTGGGAAGGTAGCTGGTAGCATCGGAACCTTGGTTTGGTTCACAATGCTTAGTTGTCTCACTTTTTGTTTCTCCGTCATTTCTTGGCACAACAAACACGACACGACACGACATGGCACAACAGGCCTGTATGACTATCCCAAAGTGATCAAAAAGCCCATGGATTTGGGCACCGTCAAGAAGAACATTGCGGACCGCAAGTACAAGACACTCGGGCAAGCCAATCAAGATGTCCGGTTGGTCTGGAAAAACTGCATGACATACAATCAAGATGGCAGCGACTTTTACCTGCTCGCCAAAGGTCTCAGCAAAAAGTGGAACGAAAAGGCATCCAAACTAGTACCAGTGGAAGACTTTGACATTAGCACCACTGATGACAGCGTCACCAACGACGACAAGCGAGCATTTGCCAAGAGCCTCTACAAGGTTTCCAAGGACGATTTGGGCAAAATACTGGTCGAATTGGAGAAAAGGGCACCTTATACGTTGTACAAGAACAGTGCCGAAGATGAAATCCAAATGTCTGTGGATAAAATTCCGGCGGAGCTGTTTGTAGATTTGCAAACATTTCTCAAGAATGCCATCAAGGGAGATGGTGGTGGTGGCAAAGCTCGAAAGCGAACCAGTGGAGGAAGTGGCAGTGGAGGAGGAAGCAAGCGACAAAAGGCGGCGTAGTGGTGCTTCTCGGTTGATGTGTATGTTACGTGGACTGCAGTGCCTTGTGATGTATTCCTATCTGGCTTAAAACCCCTCAACTATGACAATCCACAAATAAATCGTTCAGTCAGTCGGTCGGAGCCAGCTATCTACCGTAGCAGTCAGCGGGGCGTGCATGCTGGCACCTATTGTCATCAGGGAAGATGATGTACTACGATTGCACAACAATACTCGTCTAAAGATAAGTTAGTTTTGCCTCGGGAAAACGAGGAGGTGATACTATAGGCAACTGTTCGTAGGCGTAGCTGCAGAAGCATCCACTCATTATCCATGAAATGGCAATCTCTGATCCGTCAATGGGAGGGGATGCAAAGCTTCGAGGGAGACTAGTTCGTTCCTTCAAGATTCTATGTACTTCAGCTAGCTAGCTAGATGGGACGTGGTAATAGCACATCCAGATGGCAGCTCTTTTTCAAATCTTCATACAATTATATTTTCGACGGTTTATGTTGCTGCTGCAATCATTTTCTCTTTCCATATTCAAGGTATCTGTTGTTTTTTCTCATTTCTTCCATCACTCTTGGTCATCAGGGTGTGTATGGCTGCTTACAAGCTGAAGCCTCCACCCAAGGCACCATTGAGAATGTCAGCAAAGGGGCCAACAATCGTGTCAATGATGGCATCAATGATAGCCCCTTCCAATCCACTGGTGGTAAGATCCACCTCCACTCCATCAAAATCAATGCTGGTTTCAATTCCACCCAAGGTCACATCCACATCAGCAAAGGTTGCAGATTCTACAGAGGGAGAACCAAAGAAACCAGGAATGGATCCAGATGTACCTACAGAAAAGTTGACACGGGCATCAACTGCATCCAACAATCCAGAGACAGACTGCTGGAATGGGACACCACAAGCATCTGCAGTGATCTCAGCATCCACAATGGCTTCCAGACCTTCAGGCAAGCCTCCTTCCACATTGAAGGTAGCTTCCCAGCTGGTGCCCCAAAACAAGGACACATCAATGTCAGCACTTCCATCAACAATGGCCAAGTTGTCAACAACAAAATTGCCCAACCCAGTCAAGTCACCAATATTATAGGTCACAGTGGCCGAAGATGTGCAGCTGTCGCTAAAGACCACCAAGTCCACATCTTGAGACACAGTCAAGGAGAGACCCAAGGGGTCCAAGCTGGCACCCAAGGCGCCGCGAACAACCACATCAAGAACTGGGGTGAAGAGGGAAAGAATAGTGTCAAAGGAAACAAGCTTGCGGTGAGCTTCTCCATTGTCATTGTTGGTTCCACGAATAGCGGTGGTTCCAGCCGAAGTGCCAATGATGAAGGAGGTAGCCAAGATAGTGGAGAAAAAGGGAGTGAACTTCATGATTGCGATTGAGGGTTGGCTAGTTGGTTTGATTGCTTTTAGTTTGCTGGTGTTTGGATTTGTGAGAACTTTCAGAGAGGCACTCTTTCTTCGATTTGACCAGCCACCGTTTGCGCTGCCCCACAATGCTCTTGGCAAAGATCAGGCAAGATTCGTATCGTTGCCGATCCTGCCAGAAGATGACGACATATTTCAACTAGTAGGCAGGTGAATAGGTTGCTTTCCCGTCCTCTCTGGAGCCCATTTCGTCGGCGTCCGGTTCATTTCCGTGGCCATTGTTGCGTTGCCGCAAACTCAGTTTGACTAGCTTCACGTCGGGACCTCCCTCGGAACATGCATGACCGAGCGGTGGCAGCAGCCAACGAGAGACCGTGTGGATATTGCAACACTCCTACTTGGAGACAACTTCTTGGAGTGAAGAGCCGATCGATCTGTATCCTGGCCCGCACTAGATCCTGCTTTGGGGGGATCAGCAACCATGATGGGAATGGGAATTGCTATCGTACAGTGCGTGTGGCCTGCGGGACGACTTCCAAGTTCCAACGTACCTGGTATCGGTACTAGCTAGCTAGTACTGGTAGTAGTAGTCTACCAGGTGCGTACCGTACCATACTGTATTGTCTTCGAGAAGAACGTGAATAAAGATCTTGCGGGTCTGGTCTACCAGCATTTCAGCGACCACAATGCAAACCACCCGGGCGGTGTTTTCTTCGGTCATCCGACATCGATCTCCGACATCCGACCATGGCACATGAGAAGAAACGGCGACGATTTGACCCACCCGTGCATTCAATTCTTTCGTGTGGACCCTAGCTTTTGCTGAAGGAACCTAATAGTCAACAACTCCAATCCATCCAGGTGGTGCATCAACGATAATAAGGAAAGGAAAATGGTGGAAGGAAATCGAATAGAAGAGTCCCAGAAGTTTAGCGTGGAGGTTGGTTGCAGAAGACCATCACGATACTCACGCGACCTCTCCAAGAGCCGTGTTCTTCTGCTTGCCTTTGTCTTGCTGGCATCATGGTCCACAGAGGATACAAGAGGTAGCAGTGTCATTCTTCAGGGTGTGGAAGCAGACGACCCGAATCTTCGCACAACCAAAAAGAAGAAACCCGAGATACCCCAAGCTAGTATGACCATTCCCATGCACTACGAATCTGGCTCCCATCATGTTTATGCCTGGATTGGATCTCCCATGCCACAACGGCAAATTTTGATCTTAGATACGGGATCTCGGTACATGGCATTCCCCTGCGATCCCTGTCCTGAATGTGGTCGTCATGCATCCACAAAGTACTTTAACGACACTCCCTCCACTACCCATCGTGACAATTATCACCCCAACTGTATCTTTGCCAAGGCCAAGAAGAAAAATGCTCCTGATGACTCTTGTACCTTTGAACAAACCTATTTGGAAGGATCCAGCTGGAAAGCGAAGGAGGTGGAAGATATGGTGTGGTTGGCAACTGCCGATCAGGAGGAGAGCATTGAAGAATATATGCCTCATTTGGCCATTCCCTTTACATTTGGGTGTCAGAACCATGTCACAGGATACTTTGTTCATCAGGTAAGTTATGGCAGAACATGTATACCTCTTCTTATGATAATGCATCCGTGCGTGAAAGCAAAGCTTGGCTCACTTGTCTGAAATCTGATGAACTCCCACCTTCTTTCTGTTGTCGTTACAGTACAGTGATGGCATTTTGGGCATGGGCAAACAAATGGACAAGAACTCTCTTCTGCAATCCATGATACAAGCCGGTGCCATCAACCGTGCGGCCTTTGCCATGTGCTTGTCACAAACGGGTGGTACATTGTCCTTTGGTGGAAGCGGTCTGGCGCGACCAGATGTCAAAGCACTTGAGAACCCCGAACAATATCACTTGGGACAAATGTATTTTTCCAAACTCACACAAGACCATGGTCTCTACGCCTTGGATGTGTACCAAGTCTTTATTGGTGATTATTGCATGACCTGCGACGATACTCCGGATCGCCTTACCAACGAACAGCATGAACGAATCTTGACAGTCTTTGGTTCTGGCAAGGGAACCTTGTTGGATAGTGGCACGACCGATACGTACTTTCCTCGAGCCGCCGAAAAGATCTTTGAAAAGGTTTGGGAAGAAAAGGTTGGATCCAGGCTCGAACCCAAACGAGACTATACGTATGAAGAGTTCTTGCGCATGCCGATTATCACGGTCATCTTTAACCCCAACGCGACATTACACGCCCATCCGTGTTCGTACATGGAAGGTGTTCCCATGGACTTGAATGCGACCAAACCCGACATAGTTATACCTTGGACGGGCAAACGAAAACTGACAATCCGCCTGTATATGGAAGAAAACGAAGGAGCCGTGTTGGGTGCCAATTTCATGTATAATTACGATGTATTGTACGATTTGGAACGTCGGCGGGTGGGCTTTGCCCGTGCCAACTGTGGCTTTGATCGTGAGGCCCAAGCACGGCTCAACAAGGATCGGGGTGGTGATGGCAATGGTAATGGTGACAGACGATTGTTGCCACGGAAAGTATATGAACTGGATTAATGCACGCATAATCAATAGCTTTCAGTTGCTAGCAGTCGTTGTTTACATTAGAACCAAAGCTGGAAGGACTGGGTTGTGGGACTAGCTGTAGTCTACCTCGTCATCTAGTCCACCTTGTCACTTACATGGCGGGGGCAACTGCAGCCGTCAACGTTGCCAGCAAGTTGCTTCCATTAATCCATTATTCATCATCGCCACCACCATCAAAGTCGTCATCATTGGGATTGACCCCGAGCATGTCATCGTCGGCTTCGGCGCCTCTTACTTCATTATCTTCTCCGTACTGAACGGCATGATCTACCGTAATCAAGACGTGATCAATGGATTCTTCATCATTGACATTCAGCGGTACAAAGCTGACCATGGTGTAATCATCGAGCAGACCGCAAATGTTGTCTGTCAATCGATGCCGTTGTCTTCGTCTCTGTTCTAGTTTTTGCTGTTTCTTCAGTTGTTCTTGAGTTTTGTCTGCCTTTTGTTGTGGATGGCTGGTGTTGAAGACCTGATTGTTGCTGTCGTAATCTTCCAGCTCCGTCACGATGGATGCCATTTCTCGTGGCATGGCAAATAGACTAGTTCGATCTTGCTCCAATTCCCACAATTGTGAGGCAGATTGTAGATTGAGCATGGCATCGATATCTCTCTCCGGCAACAAATCCCCTTTGGTGAGGACATTGATGTGTGGCAACTCGAGTGCAATCATAGTCGACAATGCCAACAATTGCCCGGATATCATTTTCTGGGCATCACAACAAAATGTAGAATCAATACAACACACAGATACCATACACCCCGGAGTGAATCCCCATTGATGTTGCATCCGGTCAAGAATGGTACGCATAATCGGCACATGGCTGTACAGTTCGATTTGACCAGGACAGTCGACAATCCAATAATCTTGCATTTCTCCTTCTCCCTGCAGCTCCATACGTTCTTGTAGCCATTCTAGATTCTGAAGGAGATATTGCATGCAATTCATGAGTGCTCAATTGGGCCCCAATCCCAATTCTTCCATCACTTTATCCACGGAAATCAAGTCTCGCACATCAATGGCGCAATCGTAATGCATGGCTTCGGCAGCTGGATCAAGGTTGACCACCAAGACATTGCGACGACGAGATCCCGATAATGTGGCACAGTGCTCTTGCATGATTTGACAATACGTCGATTTGCCCGATCCAGCGGGGCCCTGTGTGATCACAAGGGTACCATAGGCAAATTGAGGCCACGGAGAATGACGAGAAAGAGCGGAGGGTATCAGGGAGGGTATCAGGGAGGGTATTCAGGGATATTATTACTTACAATGACAACCTGAACAGCTCCTCCCATACTTCAATTGTTGATACCGTAGCAGCAGAGACTATAGAAGAGGAATGTCGACTACGCTGCACTGAATGAAACCACAAAACATGCCGAAGACCGAAGACAGCATTTTCTTTTCCAAATATAAAGACATGTGCGAGTCCAATCACGCTTCCTTCCACCCCTTTGTTGTTTCAGTGGATGGCATGCTTGCCCCTCAAGCCAAGACTCTCTTACAACGCCTTGCTTCTGCTACTGCCTCCAAAACTCAGTTTTCCTACTCTCAAATGATGTTTTCATGCAGACCCGTATCTCCATTGCCCTTGTGAAAGCTACCCATTTATGTCTCCGTGGATCTCGCAAAGCCAAACCATTTGGCCCCCGTAATGGTCCTCCCTTTCTTGCCCCTGATGCCACAGAACCTACTAGTCCTGAATTTCAACTGTTCTTTGCTTAAGCCTGGCCCCGGCTGGCTTCCGTAGATAATTTCCCTACTCTGAACCCCCCACATCCAAAACATGCAGAAGACACGAAGACAGGATTTTCTTCGTTGGCTGTGGGTGTGTGGGTCTGGGGTGTGCGAAGATCAAAAAGGAGGCTGCCTGGTTGGGTGCAAGATCCAAGTTTGAGGTTAGGGGACACACAAAGCTCTTCTGGTACCGTACCAGGTATGCGGTACCGGCAAAGGCCTCCGTGCGATCACACGCTAACAACAACAAGCTTTGGCGATCGAGAAGACACGACAAACACAAAAATCATTCCCACCCTTCCCCGCCACCCTTCCAGCTTTTTGTACGAGCACTTGTTGTGGATAACTATTTCGTTAAGAGAGATTGAAGGTTGACCACAGAGCAGGCAACCGACCATGGAAACCAACAGCAGCAACCTTGCTCCACTGAACCCGGCAGTCAATGACGGGGCCCACATCCACATGAACAACAGCGATGAAGATGATAGAGGCCAACCTGGAGGCGAAAATAGCATGGAGCCAGTACCGCTCCATGGGTCAGTGCTGGAGAATGTTCAATTTGGTATGCGACTGGGAAATGATGTCACGGAGAGGGTTTGGAATCTCAAATATGCCATTCGAGAAGAAGGACTGACTCCACCTTCTGCTTTTGAGTTGGTTCAAATAGTGTTGTGCGGAGAAAATCGGGAGGACAACCTGGAGAAGGTCCGGTGGTTTCATCATTTTCGAGCAGCGCACGATATTGAGGAATCCGTGGAAAGTGGGCTCTCGTGTGTAAAGGATGCAATGAAGCTCTTTCCTGGGTTCTTTCTTTCCTTCCATGTGGTTACAATGGAAGGCAGAGAAGAATTCACCTTGGCAATGGATGCTTCCATGCTCAATGCACGACGATTTTTTGAAGAGAATGGCAGGAAGTTACTCTTGAGGGCTCTCTACTTTTGTTTGAATGCCCTGAATCCTAATTTTCTAGCAATCGAAAATGGACCCCTCATCCTTGTGGAATGTGAGAGCTTCAACTGGATGAATTTCACCGTGGGGGCACATCGACAACTTCAAACAGAGCTGTTCTCGCATTACCCAACCAGAGTTAATCAGGCCAGACACTACAATACAGGCCTCTTTGCCAATATGCTCTGGAGCATGGGCCGGCCCTTCTTCCCAAAGAAGCAGAGGAACAAGTTCCAAATGGGATGCAAGACTGGTGTGGGCAATTTGAACGAGTTCTTCCTCAAACCAACGGTGGAGATTGCCAATCAAAGGTTCCTAGAAGCATTGGCAGTGGCACTGGAGCAGCGATACTACTTTGCATCGGTGTTTGAATTGCCATCTGACACGAGACAACAAAATCATTAAAGCAACAAGTCTGGTACAGCACGAAAGGATCGTTTCCTGGAGAAATTATCAACGATAGTGCTTCGAGGGATTAGACGAAGCTTGATGCCCCGGCTATCATTCATTACAACCGATTGCTGTGGAAGGGAGGGAGGAGGGATTCTTTTAAAATCCCGATTTGCTTAAAACCAAAGAATGTATGAATCACCGTTGGGTTTAAAACACGAGATCCAGAGGTCAACGCGCCGAAGGTTTGCTCCAGACTTGGTCAATAGTCCTCAAACAACAGCACTAACATACTAGTAGGTGGGGGTAACCAATTGGAGACATTTTCCAACTCTATTACACCAGATAGTTGGTTCACATGAAAACCTGAAGTGTCGTCGCTCCTACGCATAGCCAGAATTTTTATTGCTTTTGTTGAACCGAAAGCAGGTCAATTCGCCGATTGAAACTGTTAGACCACCATTCTAGACAGAATGATAGGGCACTTACAATTTCCAGAGGGACGGTTGTATCCACGGTATAGCCAGACGTTGGCAGCTCCACCGCACCCCTACGTGAACACCTAAACCATGCCATTCTCAGCCATATGCATAGCTCGTAGGCAAACAGCTTCTTTTGCCTGGTGTATTGCGTGGGTGTGGCCGGTGATGCCGTGGTGGGTGTTTTGGGATCGGCGGAGTTCATTCGGGGTGTCGAGGCTGTCCCAGAACCTCGTCAAGGGAAATGGTGGAACGAGGAATCTCATGAATGGATCCTCGTGTCTCGGTCGCGGTTTTTGATCTTAATTAATGTCTTCAATTTCTGCCGACGTCTCTTCTTCTGTCGACGCTGTAATCTTGCCGACATGATAGGCTGTTCTTCATCCTCACCACATCACAGGGTAACGATCAGAACCAGGGCAGCCATTCTCATGAAGATACTTCATCATTTCTAGATGGTCAGCAACATTAGCATAAATACATGCAAGCTCATTCCATGGACATCCCTTTTCATGTGCATATTTCAGGCATTTCAAATGGCCATTCATAGCAGCACTGTTGCATGTTTGCTCATCCCAAGGACAGCCATTTTCATGGGCGTATTTGAGGCATTCCAGGTGACCATTGTAAGCAGCCTTCATGCATGTGCTCACATACCATGGACATCCATTTTCATGCGCATATTTGAGGCATTCCAGATGGCCATTGCATGCAGCAAGGCTGCATGTGAGCTCATACCATGGACATCCATTCGCATGTACATACTTTAGAATTTCCAAATGGCCATTTCGAGCAGCATTGATGCATGTGTCATTTCCCCAAACACAGCCGTTTTCATGGGCATATCTCAGAATTTCCAAATGGCCATTTTCAGCAGCAGCTGCACATGTATCAGCATTCCATTGACATCCATTTTCATGGGCGTACTTGAGGCATTCCAAACGGCCATTCACCGCAGCCTCCAGGCAGGTGCGTTGATCCCACGGACAGCCATTTTCATGGGCATATCTCAGAATATCCAAATGGCCATTTCTGGCAGCAGCTGCACATGTATCAGCATTCCATTGACAGCCATTTTCATGGGTGTACCTCAGAATTTTCAGGTGGCCATTTCTGGCTGCATTGCTGCATGTGTCCTCATCCCATGGACAGTCTTTTCTACGGGCATAATGGAGGCACTCCAAGTGGCCATTTTCGGCTGCCTTGTGGCATGTGTTTTCATCCCAAGGACAGCCATGATCGTAAGTAAATTGTAGGATTTGTACATGACCATTCTTGGCAGCATCACTGCATGTGGCTTCGTCCCAATCGAATCCCTTGTTGTGGGCCCATTGAATAGCTTCAATACAGCCTGCTCTGGCAGCTGCAGCACAAACCGTGATACCATCAATCTGTCCGCCAGACCCAGTACAGTTGCTCCCAGTACTACGGTGCCTGTACCAATATTCTGCTCGAGAAAGACTAGAGAAGACTGCTTCGAGGAGAGTATCCGTGCTGGTGATTGAGACCTTTTCCAATGTATCGGTGTCCATATGGTAATCGTTTGACTTTGGAGGATTCTCCACGGCTCCACAATAAGCCGAGTAAAGATCTTTCATTTTATGGCTGACTGGAGCCACACAGGCAAAATGTCCCATTCCCAAAAACGGGAAGATCTGGTTGGTCCACATATCCTCGTGCCGCAAGCAGGAATCATCCTCGGCAAGCCTGACATTGGTAGTTGCTTGTTGGACAACTGCATTCACCTGTTTTTGTAAGGTCAAGGCCGTCTCAAGTTCCTGTGTTGCATCTGTTTTGCTGCCACCTGCGCTGCTGATGAGTTGAAGTTGCTGAAGGAGAGAGGACAAGGCTTGGGACACCTCTTGACTATAAACCTTAATAGATTGTTTTGCTCTCTTTTGTGGATCGGGTGATGATAGGCCGCAGTTGGATAAGGCTCTCTTGCCAATGTCTTCCTCCATCTTTGTTTTTGTGATATCTTTATGGTTATGGTATGGTACCAGCTACTAGGTACCTGGTATAGGCGCTGTGGTGAGACAATCCCTTCGGGATTGCCCTCGGTCGCCTTCTCCTTCTGCTGCTCATCATCCATGGTCAAGTGGTTGGTTGTTGGCTATCTCTCAGTCCGGATGGACTGGGGGAGAGCCTCACAACGCTTGAGCTGAGCATGACCCAGAAGGAGATGTGAAGTCTAGGTCAGGATTGAAACCTGAACCTGGACTGAAAGCTTCTTCTGACCACCACACAAAGCACCACACAAGTGGAGCGACCCCTGAAGGCGAAGGATGCCATGAGGAGAGGAGATGGTGACGGAAGAGATAGGAGAAGAAGAGGAAGGAAAAGTGGGGAGGAAATGTCGAGATGGAGCCGGAATGATGCGGGGATGGCTCGCTGATTTAAGGAGATCGTGGGAGTGATTGGCGTATCGTGGGGAATCAATTTTGTCGGAGTGAATGACAAAGAGAGGGTCAACCGTGGAGTCTGTCACGATTGTGGAGTGGTGGAATCGAAAGGAGGCACTCGATAGGATACCATAAATTTGGTGAATGCCAGGTAAGTAGGTAGAGAGTCGAATTTGTTGTTGGACTGGTGTGATTCTCACTGATTGTGTGTATTGATGGCCAATGTGATGTAGGTGGACAAGAGATTGAGTTGAAGTGTACAACGATGGCTGGTTCGGATACGGAAAGTGGAGAAGGAGGATCGCCCCGAGGACGCTCGGGGAAGGAGAGAGCAACTGATGTGTTTGCTCGAACGCAAAAGTTTGTGATCCTGGCGACGGCACAGGGATGTGATGTGTCGGAACAGGAGATTGAGGTGTGGACGCCGAAGTTTATGAGCGAGATGAATCCGGAGGTGATGGCTGGGATGGAGGAGGCCATCGGTTGCGAGCTGTTTGGTGGTGGGGCGCCGATGATGACGCCGGAAGGGATGTGGTCGGACCACTTGGAGGCTGCGGACTCGGGGTTGGCCCCCGGAGTGTGGCAGGTGATGGCTCGCGACAATTTTTGGCGAGGAGTGGTGGAGGACGGGCCGTTGACGCCGTGTGACACCTTCCGTCCTAACGTGATGGGCATGGTAGCGGAGGGTCTACGCGAGGCTATGGCCGCGCACAACCATGAAGCCAACATGAAGCGCTTTATCAGATCGGAAGAAGGATGCAGCGCAGAGGTTGCGGTGGCGGTGGTGACAAAGGGCTTGGCTGATGTGACTGCTGGACGAGTGGAGGGTGGTCGTTTTCGATCAAATGAAGGCGCGTATGGTGAACGCAAACGCGAGCGTGATGACGCCATTATGGAGCGTGCAGTGCGTATTCGGTCTGGCGAGGATGTTTGGGCGAGTGACAGTGAAGGAGCGGCGGAGCCGTGGGACACTGCTGTGTTGCCCTGAATGGTGGCTGTGGGCGCCGCACTGAATGGAAGTGGGGCGTCCAGCGAAGCAGATGTGGGAGAATATAGCTGCGTGGGGTGGTCGACGAAGAAGGTATCGGGACCCTGCGGTTGCTCGCGATGGTAGGCATTGTGAAGAGAGCTTGTTCAATTGGAAAGAAAAAGAGGTGTGAAGACCATTGCGGCGATGTATTGATGCCGGTACAGGAAATGGCACGATGTTGGCGATTCCGCGTGGAATGGTTGGCTGAAAAGAAAACATTCGTGATAGTGACGTAGCTTATAACCCGTATTAGGGTCGCGCGTTAATATCCAGAAGGTAGATATGCCGGCGTGTTTCGTATAAGCCTGAGCGATCTGGCGGAGGATCGTCTGGAATGGTTTGAGTGGGGTTGGTATCACAATCGCAGATTATGACGCAATCGGAAGATGAATTACGGGATTTGTGCCAGGTTGATGCGTGCGATGCTGGTGCAAGTTGAGTTGGTGTTGGAACAGGTCGATGGAGCTGATGATGTGACTGGGACACTGCATCGTGTGAGAGTGGGGAAGCAGATGGAAAATGAAAGTGACGACGAGAGTGAGCTTGGGTGGGAAGTCGCGTGGAGGTGATCGTAGCTGACCAGTATGAAGGGAGAACTGGGAGAGTGACGAAACGTCGAGGAGCTACGCAATGGTATGTGCGATTGGATCGCAGAGGTGGAGAGTTGCGAGGGCCCAAGGTGTACAAGTGTGAGAGTAGTTTGAAGCTATTGGAGTAGCGGGAAATGAACTTTGATTTAGTTTATGAGGAGGGCGCCGCGGAACGCGGCTAGTGTGAAGTCTTCCACCATGGTGTCAGTCTCACGGAGATAGTGATCGACATCTCAGGTTTCCAACGAAGGCGGGCGGCAATCGCTGGAATATCGAGGCCCATGGCACGAAGCACTAGGGCAGCGAAGACTCGGTTGGAGTGAGTGACAATGGCGGTGATGTGTTTGCGGTAAAAGTGATTGGGATCAGGGTAGCATCGATGCAGGCTTGACGCATGATTTTTTTGATGTCATCATCCTTGAGGAAAGTGTAGCCGGAGGTCGGAGGAGTCCT